TTAATCTTCTCAGATAACATTCTCATAAAATACTCTGGTATTATGTGACATTATTGATGTGCATCTATTTCCAGTGATGAAAGAAACGATTCGCTGCTGCAGCAGTAAATATTGATTTGGCCGCATGGAGGAATGTATGACACCAGAATGACCCCTGAACTGAGACCACATTTTTAATGACGTTATTCACCGCAGGACTCTAAGAGAAACAGCCAGTGGCAAACAGAGAAAAACACTGGATCCTATGAATGCAGAGCGGCATCTTTTGTAGTTAATGGTCAGCCAGAGTGGAGTATCTGTACAGTAAATTAGATGTCTTGCCTTCTATCCATAACTGGTTTTTCTTTGAATATGCAAGGGCATACTGAATCAAATGACAAAATAGTCTCCTAAATTAAATGTCTTTTGAAAGTTTCTAAGTGTATTCATAAGCATTTCCTTGATCGACCCACAATAATGAAGGTGACATCTTCACACAAGGTCTTGAAGCTGTGCTTAAAGCTCTGAAACACTCTTTGAAAATGTTGAATACTTCTGTCTCCATGTCCAATCGAGTGCTTTCCTTTAGCCAGCACATTCAAGACTTTCAGGTCAGGCCTCCAATTAAACCGTGTGCAACTTGGCTTGACACTTTTCTGAAAGGTGTCGTAACACTTTTTGTGCTATCTTTGATTTTTGATTTGTTAGATCATTTGGAAAAGTGGGATTGCTCCTAGCTTACGCGAACAAGAACAAGAGGCGCTTTATGGATTTTGGCTTCTTCTTAGGTATGAGTTTACAGACTTTTTCATTGTAAACCTTAAGTTGAATATACTAAAAACATTTGAGGAAACATGTTCCTCTACATTTATGGTGTTTTGTGTCATCAGATTCACCTAATGTGATCATCTTTAAACATTTAAAGGAGACATATAATGCCCCGTTTTACAATATGTAATATAAGTCTCTGGTGTCCCCAGAATGGGTCTGTGAAGTTTCAGCTCAAAATACTCCACAGATCATTAATTATATCATTTTGAAAATGCCTATTTTGAGTGGAAGCAGAAACACGCTGTTTTTTGGGCCTGTCTCTTTAAATGCAAATGAGCTGCTGCTCCCCGCCCCCTTTTCCAGAATAGAGCTGCGCCATTACAACTCGTACCTGCTAAAAAACATCTGTTTTGGTCGCAGAACACACCAGTACGCCACGCCTGCAATGACGCACACCACAATTTCATTATAAGCATCAATCAAGATCAAAAATGAACATCTTGTTTTAACCACGGACACAAAAGTTAAACCACAATTCATGCACAGTCATGTCAACCAGATACTGAGAGAGAGACACAGTGCATCATCGTGTCATGTGTGCTGGACAAGCATTTCCTAATTTCACTTCAGAATTTTTTGTTATACTTAATCTTTTTTTATATTTTTTATACCGTCATCATTTGTAAAGTATATATATATTTACTTACCAAATTTACCTGTATTTACTTTGTTTTCATATTTGGCGACTTTTTGTGAAAAATGGAGACTTTTGAGGGTGGTTCTAGAGATTTTCTGAGGGAGGGGTTTGGCAACACTGCTCGTACCTGCTAAAAACATCTGTTTTGGTTCTGATTATCATGTTTATCGCACTGAAATCATGCGTTTTAAAACATATGAGTTTAAACTTCTGATATACAGTTTTCTGAGAGCACACATCCGAAGCACACGGACAGAAAGCGGCTGTCACAGTATGTGAGTACTAAACTAAGTTCTCATTCACACACAAGTTTACTTAAAAACTCACACGAGTTACAAAAACAGTCGGTTATGTCCGTGAAGGTAAACAGCTAGGAAATCTGTGTGGCAGCAGCAATATACAGTAAATAAATCAATAAATCCACTGCTCTCTTGTCTCCTCTGAGGCTGGGACAAATCAATAAATCCACTGCTCTCTTATCTCCTCTGAGGCTGGGACTCTAAATAGTGTTCTGTGTTCGTCTGTGCAGCCAAAGGCAGAACAGTTAGCATGTTTTGCTCAAAATCAAAATGACAGCGCCATGGGTGGAAATGTACAGATTAATTTTGGCCTTCTGTCCACACTGAGAGGTGTTTTTGTCAAGGAAAAAGGAGCGTTTTGAAAAAAAGTGGATAAATTTGAAAACGCAGTTTTTGTGTTGTAGTGTGGAATTTTGAAAATAATGACGCATGTTTAGTTATGTGACACATATTGTATCAATAGATATCTTTATACCGGTACTGTGCCTATGTATGTGTTATTCACGTTCAAATCCGTGTACACTCTTCATATCACAGTCCTGCAAAGATGACAAAATTTACTCGTGATTGCTGTTTGCACCAAAACATGAGGGCAGTTGCGTTTTAGATCAGACATACAATCGTGAGTGAGTGCGACCTGGACGCGTCAGTGAATGGTGAGATATTTTCCTAAATAAAATGATCCTGCCAGAAGAATTGCATGATTAATGTAGACATAGCCTCAGTAACACATGACTACTAAAAACAACAAAACCACATCAACAATATTTTTAAGCAATTAAAACCTATATAAACCTATAATGACACCTATATAAATCTGTTTATTACACTGAAAAAAAGAGTTGGTGTAGAAAAAATTCTCACTCAGAAATTGCAAGTAAATTTCACAAACAATTACAAAAGAAATGGCAAGTAACATTATATGCATTATATGAGAAATTTTGAGATAGAAAAACTAAAATAGTAGTTTCTTGTAAAATGTATTCCAATAATCTTTGTTTTATTTGCAAAGTCGAGAAATCATTTTTACAGTGATATATAAAATCTATCTAGATAGATTTTGTCTCCCTGTTTTGACAAGAATATTTTATTTGTATTTTTTTTTTGAGTGCAAGAGCTTATTGTTCACCGCCTTAATTTGATACTTTAAGATTGTCAAAATAATTATTTATGAAATAATTATGGAATATTTATAAATGATTATGGAATTTTAAGAAAATTAAGAAACGTAGATATTTAGGTAATTTGACACCAAAATGTATCAAGTAATATTTCACAGCCTCAATTTTATACTTAATGTTAAGTATTAATTACTCAGAATAATTATTTATGGGATTTTAAGAAATGTAGAACATAAATATTTAAGTAATTTGACTCCAAAATGTATCAAGTAATGTTTCATTCTGACTCCTTAATTGTTTTCATTAGTGACAACGTTAGGATTTAGTGTTCTTTGCTTTGCTTCGAGTGAGAGAAAGTTCAGCATCCATGGAACCTTTCCATAAGGTTCTTCAATTGTATATTGCTATTAGCTTTCCTCTCTAAACTTATTCTGAAAGGCAGATGAGATGTTGCAGTATTTCTGTGCTGACGGTGTCAGTAAGTCAAATCAGGAGTGTTTGCGGAGGCTTTGTGTTTGTGTGAGATATGGGAGCTGTCTTTGTGACTGCTCAATGCTCCATTTCTGCTGATTAGAATGTTAAACACAGCCATTGTTTCGTGCAGTCGCTGCACATAACTCAGTATCAAAGGTGCCTTCTAACAGGCATTGCCATAGAGATGGCTGAAGCTCGTGGTAAAAGTGGAAAGGGTCTCTGTTTTGCATGTGTTTTGGTTGATGGAAAAATAGGCTTACTATGACAACAGACACAGAAAAGGTGGAGGTGATGTATTAGCCCATGATAACAGCACACACTCGAACGATGTTCTGATCTGCCGGCGGTGTGCTCTTAAACTACACCGCATGCATTAATCTTTCATTTCTTTCTTTTAATTTGGAATAAAAAAGGTTTTGTCAGGTAATCTAAAGGCTTTAATAAAGCCCAAAATGTTATTTATTAATAATATTTTCAAACCATGTCAGCAATAAATGGCACTTTGGAGCAAGTTGGTATTATGTCATTTCATTTTATCCAGTCTGTTAATTACAATTGTTGTTGACCTTTTACATTTACGCCGTGTCATTAACTGTCAATTTCCTAAAAGCTAATATTTTTTTAAGTTAATATTTTATTCGCTGGTATTTTTAGATTTTCATTTTTCATTGTAAATTCATAAATTTGAGTGGTGCTTGATTCATCAAGAAGCAGTTCCAAATAATTAAAACAAGTAAATATCTAAGTTAGTACAACTTTTTTTTAATTAAGTTTACTTAATCTATTTAATTACATTGAACATTTGGGTTTACAGTGTAGCTTGATTTTTAGTAATTTTATTATGTGTGTTTGTCATTTTTATTTATTTATTTTTATTCATGTGAGATAGCATTTCATATTTCACAAAAAAGTATGCTTAAAATAGAGATGTCACCTCATCAGTGATTTTTGGCCACAAGATACATAAAGTTTTTCAGGATAACTTGATAACTTGAAATTTTATTCTCTTTTTTTACACAATTCGGAAGACGTGGAATATAGATCCCAAGTCATATGGACTGTCCTTTGTGGAGCTTGGCAGATGACACTGGTAACTTGTATAGAAAAGGTATGCTTTAAAAATTACCTTTTGTGTTAAAACAGTAAATAATTACAACATTTTCATTTTGGAATAAACTATTCTTTTAAGAGCTGGCTTAAAGGAATTTTAGTGGTTACATTGTTCAAATTCATACATCATATAATGTTTCATTGTGACACGAGTCGTCGCAACTCGTTATCGTTTTTTCATTATCACTGATATGATCACCATTATATAAGTTGGCAGTTGTCAAATTCGTGTTGTTCACTTCCAACTTGGATGTGCTTAGATATTGTTCCATGCTCCCTAGAGGCCAATAGAAAGAAATTATTGCTCTTACAGAGCCAGGTTGGGGGGGGGG